AGGATAGGGAAGAGGCGGGAGAAAAAACACGAAATGTGTGGAGATTTATTGGATTGAACGAGAAGGAAAAAACGGCTCCAAAGAACCAATAAGATGTTTATAAATCCCCCACACAGCCTCCCCATCCTTTTCGATATCCATCCACCATATTGCAGAAATGTTTGAAATTCTTCTTTTTCTGATGAAATTCGAGAAAGACGAAAAAGAGAAACTGGAGGAGAATGAAAAAAATGAGCCAAAGAACTCCAATGAGTTTTTTTTTGAAAGAACCAATGGTCCAAGAAGTTCGATGGAACTCTCTAAAGGGGATGACTAATGCAGGAATGTGTGTGCAAACTGTGAAAATGAGATTCTGAAGTCATCTAATAAAATATTCCCGATTTGGAACTCTCTGTATATAATGCTAGAATATGTGAATAATATGCGGATGCATCGGATTTTCTAAATTTAGAAAGTTCAAACTTTGCACATCTAATGGCGAGATTTAAGAAAAAAAAGAAGAGAGAATCAAAAATCCATGCAAAATAAAATTGTAAAGTGGCTCCAGATTTCCGTATTTCTGGAGATACTAATTGAACCAACTTGTTGATTTGAAAGGAATGTGTGAGGGATTTTTTGCAACACAACAACAACTTTTTTGGTGGATTTTTTTGTTGGGTAAGATTCTAAAATTCTAAGATTCTAAAATTCTAAGATTCTAAAATTCTAAGATTCTAAGATTCTAAGATTCTAAAATTCTAAAATTCTAAGATTCTAAAATTCTAAGATTCTAAGATTCTAAGATTCTAAGATTCTAAGATTCTAAGATTCTAAGATTCTAAGATTCTAAAATTCTAAGATTCTAAGATTCTAAAATTCTAAGATTCTAAGATTCTAAGATTCTAAGATTCTAAGACTCTAAGATTCTAAGATTCTAAGATTCTAAGATTCTAAGATTCTAAGATTCTAAGATTCTAAGATTCTAAGATTCTAAGATTCTAAGATTCTAAGATTCTAAGATTTTAAATCCATGCAAAATAAAATTGTAAAGTGGCTCCAGATTTCCGTATTTCTGGAGATACTAATTGAACCAACTTGTTGATTTGAAAGGAATGTGTGAGGGATTTTTTGCAACACAACAACAACTTTTTTGGTGGATTTTTTTGTTGGGTAAGATTCTAAAATTCTAAGATTCTAAAATTCTAAGATTCTAAAATTCTAAGATTCTAAGATTCTAAGATTCTAAAATTCTAAAATTCTAAGATTCTAAAATTCTAAGATTCTAAGATTCTAAGATTCTAAGATTCTAAGATTCTAAGATTCTAAGATTCTAAGATTCTAAAATTCTAAGATTCTAAGATTCTAAGATTCTAAGATTCTAAGATTCTAAGATTCTAAAATTCTAAGATTCTAAGATTCTAAGATTCTAAGATTCTAAAATTCTAAGATTCTAAGATTCTAAGATTCTAAGATTCTAAGATTCTAAAATTCTAAGATTCTAAAATTCTAAGATTCTAAGATTCTAAGATTCTAAGATTCTAAGATTCTAAGATTCTAAGATTCTAAGATTCTAAGATTCTAAGATTCTAAGATTCTAAGATTCTAAAATTCTAAGATTCTAAGATTCTAAGATTCTAAGATTCTAAGATTCTAAGATTCTAAGATTCTAAGATTCTAAGATTCTAAGATTCTAAGATTCTAAGATTCTAAGATTCTAAGATTCTAAGATTCTAAGATTCTAAGATTCTAAGATTCTAAGATTCTAAGATTCTAAGATTCTAAGATTCTAAGATTCTAAGATTCTAAGATTCTAAGATTCTAAGATTCTAAGATTCTAAGATTCTAAGATTCTAAGATTCTAAGATTCTAAGATTCTAAGATTCTAAGATTCTAAGATTCTAAGATTCTAAGATTCTAAGATTCTAAGATTCTAAGATTCTAAGATTCTAAGATTCTAAGATTCTAAGATTCTAAGATTCTAAGATTCTAAGATTCTAAGATTCTAAGATTCTAAGATTCTAAGATTCTAAGATTCTAAGATTCTAAGATCAGTTTTAGCAAGTTGCTACTTGCTTGCCGTGAAAAGAGCAAGTTGCCGATCTCTTGCTGCGTTCAGATGACATTCAAATGTTCTCGAATTATTGATTTTCTTTTTGTCCTATTTGTCCTATTTTATCCTATTTTTTGCTTGATTTTATTGTATTTCAAACTAACTTCACAACGAAATGGAAGGAAAGCTTGAAGGTAATATTAAAAATGTATATTGCTAGAAAAATTAATATCTTTCAAGGTTTGGACAGCTAAGATCACCGAGGAACAAGAAATTGGGGAAAAGTCGAATTATATATATCCATATATATATATATATATTATATATATCCATATATATCCAAAGCTCGTCAGAAAAATTTATAATTTTTCTACGATATAGTCATCGAAGTTCGAAATTATCATTATGATACGATCCACAAAGAACGAGTGGTTTTATCAAGTTAAATATCGAAGAACAACTGAAAAAGCGAACGATTGAAGCATCGGCACAGTGAGTTGCTACCTTCAAAAACAATCTTAAGAACTTTTTTTTCAGTTATCACACTATTTCTCACAACCTATGCGACAAGCCTGATATGAAGTTGGATCGCATTTCGAAATTTTTTACAAAGTAAGAAACATTTCTCAAGCAGTTCATGAAATCTTATTTTCAGAAGTTCTTGCACATACAGTCCACTCCGTGAGAACCCTCTGCTATAATCGTTCGTGATGCGAAACGTTGAATATAATTGAACGTCGAAATTTTTCTTGAATGTCGAAGTTGATAAAAATTTAAGATAGACATTTAGAAGAACTCAAAACGCGAAGGGATGCCTACGTATTTGCAAGAAACTTCCTCAAATTCATGGAAAATTTTTCGGATTTTATTTTAATATTGTTGTCCCAATTTCCCTTACTTTGTACCCTCCACCTATATGTAGTCGACTTCCTTTTTTCCTACTATTGTTTTCTCACTCTGTTTCCTCAATAAATATGCCCTAAATAAATATGTCCACTTCGAAATTATGAAAAAAAAACGCTCTTGATTCGGCAAGTTGCCATCTAGATTTCATGAAGAACGGCAACTTGCTTTATAAAACAGCAAGTTGCTGACCCGAAAAACGGCTTGCCGTTTGTCAGCGGCAAGCATTTTTTTCGGCTTAGCAACTTGCTAATATTGGGCACAACTTGCCGGAAAATTTCCTGAGTAAGGCTGGTATTTTGACATAATATTAAATATGATTTGTCAGAACTTAAAAAATTCAAAAACTGTTTTTTAACATTGGAATTGAAATCACACTGCAATTCAAAGTTTTTCTTAAAACCCCCACAACAATGAAAAAAATTATGTACTAACAAATTCCTTAATCCAATTTTTTGTAAAAGAAACGGAAACAATGAAATTAGAAAACTAGCTAACTATGAGCTGTGAAGAAAGTCTTTGACTTTGTTTCAAATGATCTCAAAAAGTTAAAAAAAAAGAGAAAAATCAAGAGTCATAAGTTGTGAAAGAGATGTTCAGTGATTAGTCATCCATAGAGAAAACAATTGTAACACTTGAGAACAAGAAACAGGGAGAAAAAATAATTTTTGAAAATTGATTTAAAAAATTAAAATTACTTTTTTCAACTTTGAAATTTCGAAAACTGTAGATTTTTAAAACTTCAACTTCAAATAAATATCGGAATTTCGAATAAGTGGAATGTTAGAATTTCAATCTTCAGGAGTTTTGTAATTCCAAAACTGTAATTTTTAGAACTTCAATTCTTTGGATTTTGAAAACTGAACAGTTTTCAATCTTAATCCAGGATCTCAATTTGTTCAGATTTGAGCTTTGGAATATTTAGGAACCATAAAATAACATTTTTAAAAATTTTCAGGCTTCTGGGATTTCAAAAACTTCTGAAAACAGATAGAATTACTATATCAAAACTTTAAAAATTGTAATTTAAACGCAGTAAAATTTGTAATTTAAACGCAGTAAACCCTCCGGAGGTACCTTGGAAAAATAGAAGAGCTAGCCCTTCTAATACAGAGTTTTTAAAATTTTATGTACTGGACCAGTTAAAAAACCAAAACTAGGCAATTTGAAACTACAATGTAACTAAAAAAAACTGTCAACAACTGCGCAATATTTGACAAAAAAACTTGTTAACAAGAGATCTGAACAAGACCAAGGGTGTGGTTTTGAATGAAATTCCCAACAACTTTCAAAAATGTTTTGGAGGCGGGAAATTTTTTAGAACCAGTAGACTGTGAAAAAGATGGGCAGCAAAGGAACAGTTTTCTTGCAAAACTCAAAAAGAAAAAAAAAGCAAAAAAGATAAAGAAGATGCTATTTTGAAGCAAAAAAAAACTACTTTTGTGTCTGGTTGGTTGGGGATATACAGTGCTTTTCTCTTTCTGTGCCGTCGTCCGGGAAAAGAAGAGAGCACAACAAATATTATGGGGAGGATAGAGGGACGATTTGCCGACTTTTTGGAAGGTACTTGAAATGGTCGGAGCACGAGAGAGTACAGAAATCGAGGAGGCGCAGAGAAATCTTTTGGAAGATAGGATGGCTTATGATCAGAGAAGGGGTGAGAATCATCGGAGACGGCAAAAATATTTTATTTTAAGGAGTTTTTATTTTGAGAGAGTATACTGTTATTGAGAAGAGGAGATCAATAACAGTTTTTCTGCGTGGGTGGTATTTTCTAAATGTCTGAAATTTTGAAATTTTGAATTTTACAGTATTCTTGAAAAGAGCAAAAAATATATAGAAAAAGGTAATAACACTTTTTTTCCAAAAAAAAAAACAAAAGGTTTCCTTTTTGAAGGGTCCTTAATATCTGAAGAGAGCAATCATGAGTGGAAAATAAAAAGAGAAACTTGAGAAAACGGAAAAAAGGGAACATTTTGAAACTGAAAAAAATTGGGATTAACAAAATCAATAAATATCTTCCGACAGACAATACAAAATTTAAACGATCTGTTTAAATAAAGAAAAAATGTTGGACTTACCATCTTCCTCATGTTGCCCAATGACTCCATTTCCATTTAAATCCAATTTGGCGATTTCTTTTGGTTTTCGACGAAAAAATGCTGCTAGTTTACTTTTACTGTTCGATTCTGGAATTTTGAAAATTTTAAGAGCTGGAAATTCGGTATCTTAGAATCTTTAAATCTCAGAACGTTGACAATAACGAAAGAATGACTGATTTGTGATAATTTTGGATTTTTGATTATTTTGGGTATTTGGATATTTTGAAAATTTTTGGGATTCTTGGGATTTTTTGTTGAAAAATGTAAGGTTTTCATATTTAGAATTCCAAAATCTCAGACTGTCATTTCTCAGAATTTCACAAATTCGAACTTTAGAATTTCAAAACCTCAAAATCTCCGAATTTCAGAACCTCAGAATTTCCGAACCTCAGAATCTCAGAATCTCAGAATCTCAGAATCTCAGAATCTCAGAATCTCAGAATCTCAGAATCTCAGAATCTCAGAATCTCAGAATCTCAGAATCTCAGAATCTCAGAATCTCAGAATCTCAGAATCTCAGAATCTCAGAATCTCAGAACCTTAGAATCTCAGAATCTCAGGATCTCAGAATCTCCGAATCTCAGAATCTCAGAATTTCAGAATATCAGAATCTCAGAATTCCAGAATTTCGAAATATTTCAAACTCCCAAACTCGTAAACTTGGAAATTCAGAATTTCAGTATCCACAACATTCTTGAATTTCCGAACTTCCGAAATCCTGGATTTCTGATTTTCAAATTTTCTGAAATTTCTAAATGTAATAATAAACTAAAAGTTCAAAACCTTACCAATCATTTTCCCAAATTACAATACCAGTTCAAAAAACCATTCGTTCCGTTTTTACCAATATGAAAAACCTGAAAAAACGACTGATCAGTGATTGTGTGTGTGGTTTTAGTTTTGACTTGTTAATCCAACCAAAGCATCATTTTTTCAGGACGGGAACTCGAAAAAAACTTTTCTAGAACATGTTGAAATTGAAGAGACGCAAAGAAAGAGGAGGATAATTTATGAGATGGATAGGTGATGGGATGGATGATGAGGAGGAGAAGAACACATCTTGGGGGAGGACGTCACTGATAAAAATATATCAGCTGTGTGAAAAAATAAATGTTGGTGGGAGAGGAAAAAGAGAAAAACGAAAACAAAATAGAATTTCAGAATTTTGAAATTCTAGAAACTTTAGTTCATGAATACGAAATTTCAGGTATTCGGAACCTCAGAATCTCAGAATTTCAGAATCTCCGAGTCTAGGATCTTAGAATCTCAGTATCTCAGAATCTCAGAATTTCAGAATCTCCGAGTTCTAGGATCTTAGAATCTCAGAATCTCAGAATCTCAGAATCTCAGAATCTCAGAATCTCAGAATCTCAGAATCTCAGAATCTCAGAATCTCAGAATCTCAGAATCTCAGAATCTCAGAATCTCAGAATCTCAGAATCTCAGAATCTCAGAATCTCAGAATCTCAGAATCTCAGAATCTCAGAATCTCAGAATCTCAGAATCTCAGAATCTCAGAATCTCAGAATCTCAGAATCTCAGAATCACAGAATCTCAGAATCTCAGAATCTCAGAATCTCAGAATCTCAGAATCTCAGAATCTCAGAATCTCAGAATCTCAGAATCTCAGAATCTCAGAATCTCAGAATCTCAGAATCTCAGAATCTCAGAATCTCAGAATCTCAGAATCTCAGAATCTCAGAATCTCAGAATCTCAGAATCACAGAATCTCAGAATCTCAGAATCTCAGAATCTCAGAATCTCAGAATCTCAGAATCTCAGAATCTCAGAATCTCAGAACTTCAGAATCTCCGAGTTCTAGAATCTTAAAATTTCAGAATCTCCGAGTTCTAGAATCTTAGAATCTCAGTATCTCAGAATCTCAGAATCTCAGAATCTAACGCATTTGCAATTTCAGATGATCAGAAATTTTGATTTTCAGATTTTCTGATCGTGAAACGTCAGAATCTCTGGATTGATCTAAGTTCATGCGGAAGAACATCCAAAAATTTTAATATTGAAATTCAGGCGTTTTGAGGATTTCGAATTTTGAGATCCATTTTTCGAAAATTCGAAATTCCAAAGTTTTGGGGATAATTGAAAACTAAAACTTTTGAGATTTAGAAATCAATGAAATGAAGAAGGAAAGAAAATTTTCAAGATGGAAAAAGCTAGAAAAACTAGGAAAAATCGATAACCTCGAAAATTCGAAAACTTAGAAGAACTGGAATTTCAGAACCAGAGTAAATTTTCCCCAGAGTCTTCAAATTTTTGAAAACTCAAAAATCTGAAAATTCGTTCCTGATTATATAATTTCTCAAACTGGAAGTTCAGAAACCCCATTATCTCAAAATTCTGAGTATTTGAGAATCGGGAAACTGAATTTCTCAAAAATCAAACAACTATAAGTCCGGAAAACGGAAAGTCTAGAAAATTCTGCAGCTCGAAAACTCAAAAATTGACTTTTCCTTAAAAAAAACTGGCATTTCGGAAAAAAACCAGCCAAAAAGTCTCCAAAAGTCCCGAATAAGACCAAAAAATAGCACAAAAAATTGATGACACTCCACTCTTCACACAGAGAAAAGTTTAAAAATTAATGTCCATTCTTTCCCTTTTTGTCTCCAAAAAATGCACAAAAAAAGTACACACAAAATTTCTAGCAGAAACAGTCCACAAAAAAACGAAAAAAGAAAGAAAATTCAAGAAAAAAATTGATGAATATTCAGAAGAGAGACAATGGGAGAAGTTATGGAAAACGTGGCTCAAGGGAAAAATGAAAAAAAAAGAAGAAGCGAAAACAATGAAAAATTATGTATATTTGTTCAGGTAGTTTGTGTTCTTCAGGGATGTGTGACAGACGAGATAACCAGAATTTGAAATTCTGAGAAAAAAAGAAATTGGGAAACATTGATTTTCAAAAAAATCAGAATTTCAGAAAAAAAAAATAAATCCAAAAACCATCAAATATTAATTTATGAAACCTATAAAATTTGAATTCTAAAATTCGGGAAATTTTTTGGAAAATTCAAAAAATGGGGGAAATATGACTTCAAATATTAAAATATTATTTTTTTAACGGAATTTTTTAAATTTCTCCCTCAACGAATCATTTTTGTTTTTGAAAAAGTACAAAACCTCCAATAAAAATAGAAAGATTTCAACAAAAAAACCACAAAACAAAACTAAAAATCGATCATTTCCATATGTCAGACCCATAAAAATTTAAGAGAGCACATTCGATTTTTGGAGCCCTTAGTTGCCACGTGGCACATATAAAATGAGTCAGAAATAGGTCAAATGATCTAAAGTCATAAACTTTCTGGAAAAATCGACTTAATCGACAAGATTCTGAAAATCGGAATTCTAAAAGTTTGAAATTCTGAAATCATAAAGTTGTAAGATTCAGAAATACAGAAATTCGAAAAATTAAAAAAGTCAGAAATTAAAAAAATTCAGAAATTCAAAAATTCCAAAGCTCTGAAATTCTAAAAACCTGAAAAAAAAGTTCTCAAAAAATCACTTTCTTTAAAACACTAAAAAGTGACATAGGGGATGTCTATATGTCTGTGAAAAAGAGCAGAGACTGATTGCTCACTCTCTCAAATGCTCAATTCTCAGGTAACTCGAGATTATTTTTTTGGAGAAGGGAGATTTCTTTCCTTCGTTTTTATGCCGGTCTGCGGTTAGAAATAGCATAAAATCCGAAGGAATAGATAGAGAGAGCTTCTGATTTTTGTGTTGTTTTGTATGTTTTTCTTTTGGTTGTTCCAAATGTTAACGACATGATGAGCAATAGAAGAGGAAAAAAGCACAGAGAGACGGAGAGAAGGTGTTCCCGTCGCAGGAAGAGGGATCACTCTTTCTGTTCCCATCAAACAAAAGAATTTGACATGATTTTTTTTTTTGGGTGAAAGAGATTCAGAGAAATAGAAGAAAAGTTGGAAAGGGGCTCTGAATTTTCATTTCAAGAGACTGAGCTTTTAAATTTAAATTTGGAATTGAAAAACAGATTAATTTTGTAGACAACGCCATCTTTATGAGGTGATTGGAAGTAGAAAAGCAAAGTTTTTATGTTTGAATAACCCAGTAATAGTGGAATCTAGAAATTTCGCACCGTTTTTTTCATTTTGGTACCCTGCTTAATAAGTAAAAATTCAATATTTGTTACCTCGCATCAACCTACATAAAACCGCCCTACGAGAAATAGAACGTCATGGCGCTATATTACAGGTTTTACGGTAGCATAAATTGAATTGTGGTAGGTTTCAAAATCCGACTCTAGAACTCCAAAAATTCGAGCTCTTGAAACATCGGAACCAGAGGACTGAAAACTAATTTTTCTATAATGATGAGGCATACTGTGAAACTACGTCATTAGATATGACATCAATAATGTCCCCTTTTACAGTCACCGGACCTCCTTCACCTCCAGATGGCCATATATTCTTGTACGTCTTCTATGCCTTCACCTGTCAGCGTCCCCGTAGCCGAGAGGATAACATGTGCGGTGTGGGACCACCGGGGAAATGGAAAGGACGAGTTCGATTCCCCCGGTGGTCTTTGATTGATGACATGAGGAGGACCGACATCTCCACCGCACATCGTTAGGCACGGAGGACGTCGCTGGAGGACCAGCAACGACAAGCAAGGAGCGAACAAAGAAGGATTACAGGAATTAAGATAATTGGTACTGTTCTGAATTGTAAACTGAGTGAATAAACAATTTTTCCGAATTACTAGAATATCGAAATTTGTGAAAACATTTTTCACAATTTCGAATTTAAAAATTTTTATTCAGAACAATTTCAGACGCTGCAAACTCAAAATTGTTGACCTCGAAAATCCAAAAAGGTTAGGCCATGACCTAGAAATGCCAAAAAGGTACATCACGACCTAAAAAACAATCAAATTGTATATAACCTAAAGAATAAAAAGTTGCAAGCAGATATTCCAGTGAATGGAGTTTTGAAATTTTTTTTAGTTTTAAAAGAAAGCAAAACTCCAAACTTTTGGAAGTTTTTGGAGGTGTTGGGAGAGGATTCATGCACAAGGAAACTGTGTAATATTGGGAAGAACAAGGAAAAAAAGAAAAAGAAAAGAGAAGGAAAAAAAGAAAAAGAAAAGAGAAGAAGGGATCGGTGTGACGAATGAGGGGTTATCCGGAAGGAGAGGGACACCCCCATCGAGAAAAAAAAATCAAACATCAATTTATCAAATTTTTGGAGGGAACTTTTTGACCTTTTGGATGGGAAAATGTCTGAGCTTTTTTGGGATTTTCATAGTTCCAAAAAGCGCTTTCAAATCTTTTGCACCCAGAAGAACAATATCCATGTCTTGAAAGCCAAAATCGGAATCCTGAATTTAAGACTTTGAATCTCGAATTTCTTGCAAAAAAACCAAGAGAAGTTTTTGGAAATCCGAGTTCAGTGCAACCGGAAACCCGAGAGGTGTGAAGTCAAGATATTGGGGAAAAAGATATGAAAGAGAGATTTTTGCTTCTTTTTTTTTAAACCTATCACATCTCATTTATCTCTTGAAGAGCATCACCTTCTCTTCTCTTTTTGAATCGATTGATCAGTTCTTTGTGACAGACTGAGAAATGCACAAAGTACGAGTATTTCCAGAAACCTTGAAATCTTGTGAAATTTCTAAACTCACTATTCAGAAGTCCGGAAATACAGATATTCAGAACAATTCTTAAAATTCCACTAATCAGGAATTCGAAAATTTCTAAATTCAAAAAAACTTCTAATGTTCTGAATCTAAAAAAAATGTGTACAGCATTTTCAAATGAAAAAACTTAAGGTTTGCAAATCTGAAAACCCGGTTCTCGAAAAAAAAAAGAATATGCGGAAATGTCGACTTTCGAAGTTCGGAATTTTTGAAAGTTGGTTATTGGAAATTTCTGGTTTATTTTTAATTTTTTTTGAAATTAAACAAAGATTTCCAAAATTTTAAAATATCCAAGGCATAACATTTTTAAATATATTTTTTTGAATTTTTAAAATAAAAAATACCTCGGAATCTTAAAATTTTGAAAATAATGAGAAATTTCGATTTTCCAAAACCTCAGATTTTCAGAATCTCAGAATCTCGGAACTTCAGAAATTCGAAATTTCAGAATTTCAGCTTAGAATCTAAGGATCCGAGAATCTCAGATTATTAGAATTTTAGAACCTCAGGATCTCAGAATCTCAGAATCTCAGAACCTCAGAATCTCAGAATCTCAGAAACTAAAACTATTAGAAACTTAGAAGCCCTGAATTCCAGAGTTTCAGAATCTCAGAATCTTCAAATATTAGAATCTCCCAAGCCTTTTCAGATTTTCAGAGTTTTAGGATCTAAAAATTTTTAAAATCCAAAACCCAAACTAACTTCTGAATTTCTTCTTACACCAAGAACCTAACAAAAAAAGAACACACATTCAAAAATTTATAGGAAAAGAAGAGAAGAATAACACAAAGTAGTAGTCGTTCATCAAAATGCGGGATCTTTCTGCGCCTTTGCACACAAACTCAACGAAAAAAAAGTCCGTTTTTAGGTTGTGTTGGTTTTTTTTCATTATTTGGAGAACACGAGAAGGAAGTTCTTCAGAATGTGACGTCTTCAACTGGGGAATTCCCTCTCCGAGAAATGGGTTGAAAATTGAGTGACGTGGCGGAAGAATCAAAAATGATATGAGGAAGAGGATAGCTGAAAAATTTCAGAACTATAGAAAATAAGTTGTACAGTAGCATTTTCATTGGAAATATGAGTTTTTCAGTTGATTTAACAATTTTCAGGAGTCCGGCGCTCGTCTGCGACGTTTCCAATGACTTCGAACATTTTGGAGGATGTCAGAAAAAATTCTGCGAATTCAAAGTTTGCAATTCAACCATTCATGTTCAAAATGATTGGACACTTGACAGACTATCTCCAGACTCCTGAAAATGGTCAAAACGGCCTAAAATCAACTGAAAAATATGTTTTTGTATATCTTAATAACCGATACTATAGGTTTGGATATTCTGAATAAGCAACCGTTTTACATACTTTTAAGCTGTCTGGTGAGCCTTCGGCGCGACCTAACCTAGTTCCTACTGGTTGGTCGCTCCGATCCTCGTTTTTTCTCAAAGGGTCGTCAATAATATATTCATGTCTCATGCTTTTTAAAAATCCACCGAGTGTCAGGGGACCAACAGATGCATGTAGAGTTTCATACTTACAATTAAGGAAGATTTTTGAGTGGTACTGTATACGGTTCAAAAACGCCCGATCTATGTATTTTCGAATCCTGTATTTTTGTAAATCCTGTACTTTTTATCCTATATTTTCCTGTATAAATCTTGTATTTCTGTCGTTTTTTTAAATTTTCAGAATGACTCATACCTACACCTGATCCAATACATCAACACCACTTTTTATCTTTTTTTCAAACTTTCTCATCCTGTAATTTTGAAAAAACCGTCACCAACTTTTTTGAATTCTGCCGAACAGAAATTGACGCTAATTTCATAAATCTTCATCTTCGCGCCCTTCACCATCAAAAAATACAAAAGATGGCCTTGACTGCCAAAAAACTGTCAACTTTTTGAAAATGGTCTCTTGGAGAGATACTTGACTTGTTTTGTTGATTCCTATTGTTTTTTTCATTTTGAAAATTAAGATTCTGAGATTCTGAGATTCTGAAATTTTGAAATTCCGAGATTCTGAGATTCTGAAATTCTGAGATTCTGAGATTCTGAAATTCTGAGATTCTGAGATTCAAAGAATCTGAGATTCTGAACTTAGGAACTTCTGAAACCTGAAAATCTTAAAATCTAAAAAAACCGAAGTTTCGGAATTTTTTTTGGCATTTTGAAATTCGATTTTTACAGAGATTTTCTATGAAAAAATCCGATTTCTTTTACATTCTCAGATATTGAGAAACTTCAGAACTTGTTTTCCTTCTCAAAAACCCAAAATTTCATAACGCCTTAAAATTACCAGTTTTCCAAAATTCAAAATTTCCGGCACTTCAATTTTTGAATTCTTGATTTTCGGACTCTCCTAATAACTAGACTTTTGTCCATTTTTCCTTTTTCTCTTCCTGCCCAACCTGACCAGAAAATAAAGAGAGAAACGGAATGAAACAAAGTGTATTTGTTTGTGTTCAACCTTCCGAAAATGCCTTTTTCTCTCCCCAATAAAAATAGCATAGAAAAAGAAGAAAGCATTTCTCTTACTCTTTTTCTGTCGTGTTTGCTCCTTTCTATCTCTTCCCAGACCGTCGAAAATAACACTACAGTTCCATATTTTTCTATTGCTTCCAGAACAACTAGCCATAGAAAATCAATAAATCGTAGGATTTCTCCCTTTCGAAATTTTCAGAACTTTTCTTCTATTTTTTGTAGTTATTGGTTGAATTCAATACTTTTTGAAATCCAAAAAAAAACGTATAAGTTTGGTGATCAAAAATCATCGATTGCCATTTTTCTAGTTTTTAGATTCAACATTTTTGAATATCTGATTTTTCGAAGTTTCTAAAAATTCTAGATTTTTATTTCTGAATCTCTGAAATTCTGTTTTTTTTTCTTTCATTTTTCCTTTCTTATCAGTGGAAAATTTGCATGACGTTGACCGATTTTTTTATATTTTTATTTTGAAATTTTCCCAAATAATTTACGAATTTTGGTGTTTAATTTTTTCTTTCCCTTGAAAGTTTATAGCGGAAAACTTCTTAATTTTTGTATAAATATTTACACTCTAAAATTCTATAATTCTGAAACCTGAAAATCTCAGAATCTCAGAATCTCAGAATCTCAGAATCTCAGAATCTCAGAATCTCAGAATCTCAGAATCTCAGAATCTCAGAATCTCAGAATCTCAGAACCTCAGAATCTCAGAATCTCAGAATCTCAGAATCTCAGAATCTCATAAACTCGTACAGAACTTCAAAGCTTCAGCATTAAAAATTTTCAGAATCGCCAATTTTTAGTTTATTTTCAAAACACTTGATTTTTGAATTCAAATTTTGAAAAACTAAAAATACAACTTTTTCAAGTAGGTACTTAATCGAAAACTAGAAAAATAATAACAAAATGCCGACTTTTATACAAAAAAATTCCCGCATTTTCAGAATTTAAAAAAATATTTCCCCGAAAAATTACCGATTTTGGTCTTTATGATTTTTTAGAATTTTTCAAAATTTCTGGAAAATATTCAAAAAATCAAACTTTTTGCATTTTAAACCGGTATCTTTTCCCTGAATCATAACTGAAATCATAAACATTTTACTGCAAAATTACGAAATTTTTCCGTTTTTCAACTTTTTGTTTCCGCATTTTTCCATTCTATAACCGGTTACAAATCATGACATGATGTATACAAAATATGCTGATTTTTCCCAAACGAATTTCATATTTTTTATCTTTTTCCACCTGTCTCGCCCTTTGTTATCTTTACTATAATATTTTGCTAAATGCAAGCACCAAAGTTTTTGTGTCATTTTGCCTTTTAAGAAAACTGACCGCCCGTGGTGTTTCTAAAAGGGCTTCTTTCGTTTCTCTGCATCTCTTTTTTCCCTTATACTATTTTTGTTTTCTTGAATTTTGGTTGCCAGAAGGAGCCATGGATTTCACGTTGAGAATAAGCCGGCTTTTTCGAGAAGAGGATTCCGATTCATTACGCCTTCGGCACTTTTTTTTGTAAAAACTGATTTCAGAAACTTTTTAAAAAATTATAGATTTCCAAAATTCGATTTACTTTTTTAAAAATAATACCGCAAAACCTGTATTAGAAGGGCACATGGAATAAAATTGACCCCTAGAGACCCCACGAAAATATAGAAGTGATCCTACAGGCATTACGGTTACTAGGATTCCGGAGCAAAAAATGGAAACAGGAGTATTTTTTTCAGTTTTTTTATTATTTTCACAATTACCACAGACATCATGAAAAAGTTTTGGAAGAAATCCAAAAATCAAGGTTTGTGAATACTTTAATCTTTCGAATGTCTGGAAATTTTAAGATTTCAAAAGTTCAATTTTTTCGATGTTTTTATTTTTTGAGTTTTTGAAATTCGGAAGTTCTGAAATTCCGATATTCTGAAATTCTGAAATTTTGAATTTCTGAAGTTCTGAGATTCTGATATACTGAAATTCTGAAACTCTAGGAATCTAGGAATTTGATATTTTTATATTCCGAGATTCTAGGATTCTAAGATTCTGAGATTCTGAGATTCTGAGATTCTGAGATTCTAAGATTCTGAGATTCTGAGATTCTGAGATTCTGAGATTCTGAGATTCTGAGATTCACAGAAATGAGATACATCTAGAATTTCTAAAAATTTTGTAAATTTTGAAATCTCAAAAAATACTCGATTTTAACAAAAAACTTTTTGGAAATTTTATATTCCAATGCTTTTTTATTCTGAAACTCTGAAATTGTAATGTTTTGGGGATTCCAAAAATTAGTGCCTAGAAATCAGAAATTTTACACAGAGTCTCCAAAACTCCAAAAAGTAAAATTGGAGAATAAATTGAATCATTTTCCTTGAAAAATGTTGAATAATCTGATCATAAATCAAAACTACTCTACTAACAAAATAAAATAGAACCCGGAAAATTTCACTCTATGTTTTATTGTTTTCTTCAATGAAACACTCTTTTCCATTATCAGTTTCCCAAAAATGTGCTCATTTTCATTATCACACACTGCTCGACACTCTTCTAGAAACTGTGCATTATGCTCTTCCTGTCCAAAAAATTGTGAAATCAAAGTGTCAAACCTTTTCGTTTCTGTGCGTTACTATAGTCATGTGTTATTCTTTTTTTTTCGTCCTGATAAAGTTCGGTTCGCCCTGGCTGGTGCCCAGATAGTTCCCGATAAAAACGCATCATTCGTTTCCAATAAACTATTCCTCTTCTTATTCTTGATCCTAGTTTTTTTCGCAAGCTAAAAATGAAACTAAAACTCTCTAAAAACCGTCTGTCATCAGGATCCGGAGACGAAAAAACTATGGCCACTCCAACTACGGCACCTGGAGAAATTAGTGAATCGGATCGGAAACTTTTGGATGAGTTGAGAAAACGAGTTCATAATGAACTGGAATTGGTCAAAGCTTATGATGATGATTTTTCGCTGATGAGATGGTTGATTGGATGGGATCGAAAGATTGGTGGGTTTTTGTTGAAGCTATGTATCTCAATTCCTGTAAGAGATATCGAAGAGTTGTTTACTGATAAAGTGCTTATCATGATATCAGAAGTGTTTTGTCAGTTGACAACTTTTCGATATCTAACACAGGAACCGAGATAAATGAGCTCAAATTTGTGGGAGCCCTGCTATTACAGGTGTTTCGATATTTCTAGGAATGTCCCAAAAAAAGAAGCAAAAGCAAAGCTTTGAGATTTTAGCGCCGACTGCTCAACTTCGAGATCAGATATCTCCTTTTTTGTGAAAGATATCAAAAAGTGGTCAACTGACAAAATGTTTATCATATTATCAATAACATTTTATCAGTTGACAACTTCAAGATATGTTTTACAGAAAACGAGATAAATTGGCTCAAAGTTGACTTTTCGGTTGTTTTTTTTTCGTTCTAATAGGATATGCCTAATTGGATATAATTGGACTTTTCATTCAAAGTTTGAAATTTTCAAAATTTTGGACTTCTAATAATTTGAAAAAATATATTTTTGGTCCTACTCAATTTTGGATGTTTTATAACCATCTGTCCCATCATTTTCAGTCATTTTTGATTTTCAAAACTGAATTTCAGAATCTTAGAATCCCAGAATCCTTAGATTTTAAGATATCTAGATTCTCGTAGAATCGCGGAATCTTAGAATCTTAGAATATTAGATGCTTAGATTCTCAAAATCTTAAATAATCTAGATTCCTTAAAATTCAGAATATTAGAATCTAAAAATCTGAAAATCTGAGAATCTTTGAATCATGAAATTTGGAAATCTCAAACCTTTGAAGACCCTTTTAACATAGTGTCTGAAATTCAGAACCGAGATAACCTCCATCCCTCCATTTCCCTCAAAAACGATCATCTCAAATATCCTAATTTTTCAGAAGTCGTCGTTCCAAAAATCAAGTTTTCCCTCCGCGCGATTCACGCGTTGGGACTCGACAAAGAAGACCTCTCAACACTAGAAAAAGTGACCCAAAAATGCGACGAATGTAGTGTACCGCTCCGCTATCTTCCTGGTTCTCTGATCGGCTTTGATCATGAAAATAACGTAGTCTCTCTTCAAATGATCGGACATTTGGATGCAGCTGGATTGATGCCAGCTACACGAAACTCGGATTTGTACAGAATGAGAATCGCCGAGAGTGAAGGAGTCATGCAAATTATCAGGTGGGGAGAGGAGAAACGTCACTCGAGTAGTCTACGTGTGGTCAAAGTGATAGAGAGTGTTTGTATTGTGAATATTTGATAAGAAATATCAAAAATATACTGTAGTTTTTTTTCAGAAAAATGGAAAAAGAGCACGGTAAACCGTTTGGCACCTCGGTCATATTCGACTTGGATGGTCTCTCCATGGGACAGATTGATATGGCAGCCTTGAAAGTTGTAACCACAATGCTCTCACAGCTTCAGGTACTTCCCGAGTGATGGTCTACAGTAACCCAAGCCCATTTTCCAGGAAATGTTCCCCGATGTCATCCGAAAAATTTTTGTGGTCAACACCCCTACTTTCATCCAAGTTCTCTGGGGAATGATCTCCCCTTGCCTGGCTAAGCAGACCCAACAGAAAGTCAAGATTCTGGGAAATGACTGGAAGCAACATCTCAAGGAAAACATCGGAGAAGAGGTCCTTTTTGAGAGATGGGGAGGTACGAGACAAGCAGAGACCGAGTATGGAAATGTGCGAATGGGAGGAAAGATTCCAGCTGAATTGAGGTATCATTCTTTGGGGGAAGATCTGACCCATTATCAGTACATTTTCAGATACGATCCTGCTAATGATTTTCCAGCTGAGAAACTAACCAAACTGGTTGTTTCATCGCGTTCAACCTCTTTTGTTCCAATCACCCTTGAAGGAAATGTGCCCGGACGAAAGCTCTACTGGTGGTGGAGACTTGAGAACAATGACATTCATTTCTCAATTCACCGAGCGGCTGAGGGACAAGAGAAGGTTGCTGAACACGACGATGATTATATGGTTCACCCGAAGTTCAAACTACAAACGGATTTTGTACCGGAAGACGGAGAAGTGTCGGCTGAGGAACCCGGAGTGTACAAATTCATATTTGATAATACACATAGCACATTTAGATCCAAAACTGTAAAGTATTTCATCGAGGTTAGAAACCCATAGCGAGCTTTCAATAAAGTTTTATTGTGACCAAAATGTTTGTACCTATTCTTGATTGATTTAATAAAAATTCTATGTTTATTCGTTTTGTGTGTGTGTTTTTTTCAATCTGAAAACTTGAATGAATGTGTATATTGCAGATTTTTAGTTAATAATTTCAAAATTTGTTATAATAAAAAATTGTCCGATTTTCAGCCATTTTTTTGGCTGATATCCGATTATTATCGGTCAAAACTGAAGCTTTCAGACATCCTTTTTGAAATTTTTGGGCTCTTTTCAACATTCAGAACCCAATTTTAAACTGAAACTTTCTCTGAAACCAAGAATGTTCTGAAAATTTGTCTGAAAAATTCCACGACAACTTGTCCGTGTGGACTACACGGTGGTGTTCGGCGGAGCGCACTTACTTCACCTGATGAAAACCTCAGCCACAAAGTCGATTTTTATTTTTTGCGCCCATTTTTTTGAATTAATTCGCCAGTTTTCTGCTGATTTCAAAGTTTTCCAGCACAGTTCTACAGTTCTAATTTTTTTTATTGTTGTTACAATTTATTTTCAAAGAATATACCTAGTTTCTAAAGCGAACTTATTACAGAATGTCGCTGAAATTAGAAACGGAGCGAAGCAAGACCTGGAAAGATTTTGGCGATGGCGTGCCTTGTGTATTAGGTATTGATGAGGCTGGTAGAGGTAAGACTTTCATCTTTCGATAAAAAATTAATTTTTAATTTTTTAAAGGACCAGTTCTCGGCCCAATGGTCTACGCGGCCGCAATTTCTCCAATGGATCAAAACGCAGAGCTCAAAGCTCTAGGAGTTGACGATTCAAAAGCGTTGAATGAAGCAAAAAGAGAAGAGATTTTCGAAAAAATTAATAACGACGAAGAAATCCAACAAATCGTTGCCTATGCCATCCGTTCGCTGTCTCCAGAACTCATCAGTTCTTCAATGCTCAAAAGACACAAATATTCGCTAAATGAGGTGTCTCACGACGCAGCGATCGCGCTGATTCGTGACGCTTTCGCTTGCAATGTCAACGTCGTGGAGATCAAAGTGGACACCGTCGGCCCAAAAGCCACGTATCAAGCCAAGCTCGAGAGACTATTCCCTGGAATTTCGATTTGTGTCACTGAAAAAGCCGATTCCCTGTTTCCAATCGTCAGTGCCGCATCAATCGCAGCGAAAGTCACCAGAGACACTCGCCTGAGAAATTGGGAGTTCAAAGAGGAAAATATCAAAGTTCCAGAGAACGGATTCGGAAGCGGCTACCCTGGGGATCCAAACACGAAGAAGTTCCTTCAGCTCAGTGTTCACCCGATTTTCGGATTCTGTTCGCTAGTACGCGCGTCGTGGAAGACTGCCAGCGCGATCGTCGAGAAGCGGTGTGTTCCTGGATACTGGGAGGATGATGAGGAGGAAGGGAAGCCACAGAACAAGAAGATGAGTGTATGGCTACAACCGAAGGAAGGAACAGAGGTGGCACCGAAGAGAAACGTCTACTTTAAAGAGAGGCATATGAAGAACGTTGTGTCGTTTTAGCCATTTTTCAATGTTTTTTAAAAGCTAACTTTATACATTTAACTTTTTTTTAAATGCTGGTTTTCTGTATCATGATACTCTTCAATACTCTCCAATAAAATCTCACTTTTCCCCTCTTGTATTAAAAAGAAGACTTTCTTCCGTTCCGCTCGGTTTTTCGACAATTTTTACTCTTTTTTTGCCCATACTCGGTTAGCGTTGCTCGTCTTAATAGTAATATTCCGTTTCAGATGGTGGAAATAAACCTGACAAAAATCGTGTCAACCGTTTTTCTCAGTTTTATGTTTTACAATTTCTTCCAATTGTACAAACTATTCACACCAGAGCTATGCGCCGACACCGATCCCGATTCGAATTGTTATTCGGTAAAAGGAAATTTTAAGCATTTTTTCGAATTTCGAGCTAATTAAATAGTTATTTTAAGGAAAAATCATTCAGATCGCATCGTTTTACTCTGAAATATCATTTTGTGAGCTGAATTGCAGAAAAAATCAATTTTGGCGAAATACTGTATTCGAAAATAACTCGAAAACCCGTTATTAACCCAAAAATCGCTCATTTATTCTCAAAAGTGTACCAAAAAACTGAAAATTTCAGCCAATAATTCGGCCGAACAGCGAAGGATTGTTCGATTTATTGCAATTGCGAGTGTATTTTTCAACGAAACGAGATTCGCTGGAAACGTTGGTGACGACGGTAGAGAATGTGCAAATCGCTGATGCTTTTCAGAAAGAAGTGAGGAAAATTAGCCTCAAAAATCGGTGGTACGACGGATTGGAGATTTCCTAAAATGAAACTGTAGCAAAATGAACATTTCCTAAATCAAAATGGTTCCAAATTGAAAACTGTGTGAAATCAGAACTGTCCGGAAGTATAAATTGGACGGAACAGAAATGCCTAGAGTGAAATTGTCCCGTTTTGGACAGCTGTTAGCGCGAGCGCTCTATTGCTAACAGCTGTCTAAAACGGGACAGTTCTACTTTAGGACAATTCCTCTTGCGCCATTTCTGCTTTCGGACAGTTTTCATTCCGTAAATTTTTCAATTTGGAAGTATTTCGATTCAGAAACATTTCATTTTGGGAAACGTCCGATCCGTCGTACCACCCAAAATCATATATTTTGCATTGTGAAGGTCCCACAACGACAACTACAGTAACCTAGGAGATATCTTTATTTTCCGAGTTGTTTTTCTCGCTTTTCACTGCTTTTTTCCGGTTTTTGTGTTATTATTACTGTTGAAAATCTTGTAGTTTGTAGTTTTTCTCGCAAACACAATCATCTCTGTGCATTTTGACGTGATGGTGTTTGGAAAAAAATACAAAAGGAAATTAGCTGTCTACAGTAGTCTACAGTAATCAGAACAACGTTCCATCGAATTTCAAACAAAAAATACTGGAAAAATCAAAAAGCAATCTTTGAAAATAGCTGAAAAACCTAAAAAGGTCTAAAAATTTTGCAAAAATATCGCAAAAAAACAGTGAAAACAGAAGACGAAATCTGGAAAAATAACATATTTTCAGATTACGGTAGTTGTCGTTGTGGGACCCTCAACTACGGACACCGATTTTATGTGCCAGAATAATAATACAATTTTCTCTCTTTCATAAATTTTCTTTCAGCTAAAAGTAAAAATCCCATCATCCGTCGCCAAAGATGGCTACCTCTACGCCCACACCATCCTTCTCCCCCATGGCTTTGAAGATCGAAATCCGATGTCAGCACCATGGAAAGTGCACGTGGCCGCGCCAATGATCGTCTTCCAAGAGCCAGTAGCGAAAACTTTCCAGTTGTTAGGTGAAGATGAAGCTGTGGTGGAAAAACCCAAAAAGGCCAAAAAGGTGGTAGAGCTGGCTGCCCACTTCCGAACTGTGCTTCCAGTAAGGATAGTTTCCGAATCGAGTCGATTTGTAAAAACGAAAGTTAGCGGGGAATTAGCGTAAGTGTGATTGGAATTAGAAGAAATTCTAAAGACGATTTTCAGCGACTTTCTGACGGTCCAACGTCAAGATCAGTACCTCCCAATCATGTTTGTCGACGAGATGAGTATGAGGAGTAAACATCTTTTCGAATTAGCGGATTTCCAAAAATCAGTGAATCTCACCATTAATTATGAGCCAACGAGCGTTGCTAAATTGCTTCTTTTAACCTCCACCGCTCGTTCGACGCAACAATTGATGCGACATGGATTTAAGGATAAGGATATCGATGAGCTGAGAGGGCTTTTTACTGAAACTTCGATTGTATTGCTCATGATTACTTTCTTCGTTTCCACTCTTCATTTGTTATTCGATGCGCTGGCTTTTAAGAATGATATATCGTTTTGGAAGGGGAGGAAGTCAATGGTGGGATTGTCTACGAAGTAAGAATCGATTTTCGGATAAAAAAGAGGACTGCGACCATCAAAATATGTAGAAAATGTAGATTGGTAGAAACTTTAGCAATTTCGAAACAAAAAGTTGCAAAACCTCGAAAAGCAACTTCAAAAAGTCAAAATTCTCAGTTCTAGTCCATTTCTGAAACCTTCCAGAAGGTTCTGGCATCTTTTTTAACTCCCGCCAAAACGGAAAACTCCGAAAAATTAGCGGCTTTTTGCGATTTTTCTCCGATTTTTCGCAAAAGTTTTAGACCTTTTAAGTTTTTCAGCTATTTTCAAAGGTTCTCCTCCGATTTTTCCGGTTTTTTGTCTGAAATTCGATGAAACGTTGGTAGATTAGTGTAGGAAGCTAATTTCCTTTTGTAGATGTTTTTTTTTGCAAACACCATGACGTCAAAATGGAAAAAAAATTTGTTTTTCTGCATGACGCGATTGTTTGAGTTTGAGTTTTCTACAGTAATCTACAGTAATCCGAACAACGTTCCATCAAATTTCAGACAAAAACACTGGAAAAATCGAAAAAGAATCTTTGAAAATAGCTGAAAACTCTAAAAAGGTCTAAAATTATGCGAAAAATCGGAGAAAAACTGAATTTTTCCTCCGGAAAATTGGGGAAAAATCGCTTATTTTTCCTAGCTTTCAGTTTGGGGGGAATACAAAAAGAAGGATTCGAGAACCTTCCAGAAGTTTCCGGAAATGGACGAAGCGATTTTTCAAAATTGCAAATTTTTTCGAATTTTTTCTTTGTTTCTTTTTCTGTGAATCTACATATTTTTCTACACTTTTTGATGTTAAAAAAAATCAACTCTTGCTCCTTTTACCCTTTAATTCTAACGAATTTCAGAACTCTCCTCTGGCGCTGCTTCTCTCAAACCATCATATTTTTCTATCTTTTCGACCAAGAAACCTCTCTCCTAGTCCTCATCCCCTCTGGAATCGCTACAGTAATCGAGTACTGGAAAGTGACCATAGCCTACAAGGTCTCGATCTCCTGGCGAGGAATCAAGTTCGGAAAGCATTCTGCAGAAGAGGATGAGACGGATTCAATCGACGCTCAAGCTATGAAATACCTATCAATTCTTCTAGTACCACTGGTCATTGGTGGTGCTGTTTATAGTTTGCTCTATGTTCCACACAAGTCGTGGAGGTCTTGGCTTCTGGAGACGTCGGCTAATGGTGTCTATGCATTTGGATTCTTGTTCATGTTGCCTCAACTGTTTGTGAATTATAAATTGAAGAGTGTCGCACATTTGCCATGGAGAGCGTTTATGTACAAGGTGAGATTAAGGCGTCGACCGATTTTGTGCATTTGCGCGTCAAAGTACCAGAGTGTTTGCGTACGGAGCATTTTATTTTACGACGCATTTGCGAATGGTTTGTCGGGCTACGTACGCAAACACTCTGTGATTTTGACGCGCAAATTCAAAGAATCGTGCGAAGGGAAGCTGAACTCATTTGAACCAATTTCAAATCTTCTAGGCCTTCAACACCTTCATTGACGACCTATTCGCCTTCATCATAACCATGCCAACCGCCCATCGAATGGCTTGCTTCCGAGATGATATCGTTTTCCTTGTCTACTTGTACCAACGATGGCTGTATCCAGTGGACTATACCAGAATCAACGAGTTTGGAGAAGGAGGGGAGGATAAGAAGAAGAAGGATTCAGAAGTAGTGGATTCTGAAGAAAAAGGAGAAGTTCAAGAGAAGGAAATGAAAGAAACCGCTGAAATCCCTGGAGCCCCAAGACGGCGAACTGCCAAAAAGGCCACCTAATAATATTAATCTTGTTTCTAATTTATATTTTTCTCTCTGTGTTCTTCTTACTGGTTGTCTTGTTTGTCTGTTTGTCTTTTTCTGAATAAAAAGCTCTTTGAAAGGAGCAAAATGGACACGAAATGGACTTGTTTTGTGCTAAAGAGGCGGCTTTTCACACCTTAGAGCAAATACGAACGAAATAGTGTTGAGATTTAAGAGAGTGCAGAGAAATGGGGTTTCCGAAAAAGGGAGATGAAGTTTAGAAAAGAGTCAATTTCGAGGAAAACATGAGGTACGACAACACGGCTTTCGTGAAGTGGGCTTGGTGGATTACTGTACTTTTTGGAGGTTAGTTTTAGAGTTTTTCAGAATCTGGTTACTGTAGTTCCTCCTATTTGAAGACACCCAAACCTTCAACTTTAAGACAATTTTCCTCGGTTCCTGTGAGAGCTAGTGATCAACTGAAAAATTATTTATCATACTATCACCTATATTTTATTAGTTGCCAAATTTTTGATATCTTTCCTAGGAATCCAGAGTTCCTGTAAAAGTTATCAAAAATCTGTCAACTAATAAAATATTTGGGATTATATGATAAACATTTTATCATATAATCCTTTATTAGTTGACAGATTTTTGATTAACTTTTCCAGGAACTGAAATAATTGAACGGAAATTGTACGTAGGTGCTATTAGAGAAAATACGGTATCCCTTTGGAAAATTTGAAATATCTCAAAAACTAAAAACGCTATCAAAAATTGGCCAACTACAAAAATAATTCTTATAAAATTTTACACATTTTTCTGTTTTCTTTCTAACTGTTTTATCTTTTCAGCTACACACGTTGGAATCGCCGACCGGTCTTGCGGTCGACGACGAGTTGCTCTAATTGAATTGCACCCTGTCCATACACTTTAAGCTCAATTATCGCGGTTTCCATAAGAGATATAAAAAATTGTCAATTGAAAAACTATTTATCATATCATCACCTATATTTTTTCAGTTGACACATTTTTGATATCTCTTATAGCAACCGAGATATTTGAGCTCAAAGTGCACAGTATTCCCTTAAAAATTTTTGAGCTCTAGATTCAGAAAAATCCAAATATCGAAACCCAAAAACTCTATTGAAAATTGGTCAATTACAAAAATGATTCTTATAAAATTTCACACATTTTTTAGTAAAACAACCTTTTCTAGCTCTTCTAGTTTTCTAGCTACTAACACTGGAATCGCCGACCGTTCGTGTAGTCGACGACAAGTTGCTCTATTAGAAGTTCACCCAATACTTGATCTTTGACCTCAATCATCTCGGTTTTTATCAGAGATATCTAGAAGTGGTCCAATGATAAATTGTTTATCATAATATCGCCAATATTTCATCAGTAAATAGATTTTGAATTTCTGTTACGGTACCCGAGATAATTGAGCTCAAAGTGCATAGTATACCTAGAAATCAAAATATCAATGAGTTCTGGAAAATTTGAAATATCTCAAAAACTAGAAATTCTATCAAAAAATGGTTAACTACAAAAAGGATCCCTATAGCATTTTACACATGTTGCTAATTTAAAAAAATTTTCTAGCTTTTCTAGTTTTCCAGATAATTCGCTTTTCAGCCACCCACGCTGGAATCGCCGACCGATCTTGCAGTCGACGGCGCGTTGGATACATCACATCGTGGGGAAAACAACCATTTCGAGATGATCAGGTACAGTTTTTTTTGGTTTTAAAATTAACTATTTAATTTTATGAAGTTGAAAATTCCAGGCCGAAAAACTGACTCATTTGGTGTTCGCCTTCTTCGTTGTGGATTCAGATGGAAGTGTGAAATTGGAAGGAGACGCTGCAAAGGAGAGATTGCAGCATGTTAAGGAGGTTACTGTAGATTGTGAATTTTCAAAAACAGTTGTTGTTCTAGGTAGCCGCTAGACATCCGGATCTAAAGTTGCTGTACGCTGTTGGAGGATGGGAGAACTCGCAGTATTTTTCCGTGCTCACGGCGGATTATTCTAGGAGGTACGTGCACTTTGAACTCAATTATCTCGGTTCCGGTGAGAGATATCAAAATTTTATCAACTGATAAAATGCTTATGATACTATGTTAAACATTTCATCAGTTGACAAGTTTTGGATATCTCTTATAGGAACCGGGATAATTGTGTTCGAAGTTAAGGTTACCGTGAACGCTTTAACGAGAGTGTGGAGCCCTAGAAAAGGGGTCCAAAATTTTCGAATCTCTCTGAAATTTTCAGATCACACTAAACAAAGCAAAAAATTCATTTTTGTAATTGACAACTTTTTTCTAGCTCTCATAGTTTTTGAGTTATGCGCCTTTAAAGATGGAAGCCGCTACAGGAAGAGGAGTGGAGGATACGGTATTTTTTAAGGCGCACATCTCGAAAAAGTTGTCAATTTCAAAAATGAAGCTCTTTTTTTGTTTTGCATGTTCTGTACATTTCAGACAAATCGAAATATTTTGATCTTTTGTAGAAGTCCAAACTTGACAATTTTCAACTGGAACGGTAAAAAGCGATGTACCGAAATACCTGTAATAGAATGGCTCCCATGCAAGACATCAAAATGTGTTTATTGATAAAATGTTTATGATATCATGATTAACAATTTATCAGTTGACAACTTTTTGATATCTCATACAAAAACCGAGATAAATTAGCTCGAAGTTGAAAGTTACCGTATTTTCTATAATTGAAGCCTTTCCGATACTAAATCTTTGAGCTCAATTATCTCGGGGTTTTTTCAAAAGATATCAAAACACTTTTAACTGCTAGAGCAATTATCACAATATCACCAATATTTTATCAGTTGACAAATTTTTGTTATCTATCATAGGAAACGAGATAATTGAGCACAAGTACAAGAAGTTGCAAAATTCTCCTATTCCAGATCAATTCTAATTTCCAACCTAATCAAAGCCATCAAAGAGTACGGATTCGATGGTGTTGATATCGATTGGGAGTATCCGGTCACCGGAGGAGCTGTCGAAGGAACTCCCTCCGATCGTAAAAACTATGTGAACTTGATGAGAGAGCTCCGAAATGAGCTCCGAGATTTGGAGGAAGAAACTGGAAAGTCCTATCTCATTTCGTTTGCCGGTGCTGCTGGACACTGGGTCCTGAAGCCAGGATATGACTTGCAGCAGCTGATGAAGTATTGTGATTTTGTGAATGTGATGAGTTATGATTATTTTGGAGCATGGGCTTCAAAGTGGGGAGCGTATACAGGACCACCGGCGCCTCTGAATTTCGCCATGCCCAAGAAGTTCGTATTTTTTTGTTATAACTTCTAGAAGTTTGGAATTTCAGGTTCTCCGGAAGAATGAACGTTCACGCCACGATGAAAGACTACAGTTGTCAAATCAAAACTACCAATAAGGTTTGTCAACTACTTTGAGCCGGTATATCTCATTTCCTGTGAAATATATCAAAAATCTGTCAACTGATAAAATGTTTGTCATATTATCAGTAATATTTTGTGTTGACAGTTTTTTGATAGCTTTTACAGGAACCGAGATATATCGACTCAAAGTTTGAGTGTTCTTGTGATAGCTGAAACTATATACGATACACTGTCAACTTTGAGCTCAATTATCTCGCCTCCTGTGAAAGATATCAAAAAGTTGCCCACTGATAAAATGTTTATCATAATATCCAAATCATTTATCAGTTGACAAAATGTTGATAGCTTTTACAGGAACCGAGATAAATGCCCTCAAAATAGAGTACCTCCTAGAATGATCCGCCGTGAGCATATGTGGGCTAAACGTTCAAGTGTTCTCGTGTTGGGCTTGTATAAGATCAAATACTGTAACTGTCAACTTTGAGCCCATATATCTCTGTTCCTGTAAAAGATATCAACATTTTGTCGATTGATAAAATATTGAGCCCATATACATAACTTTGAGCTCATATATCTCGCTTTTTGATAGCTTTGACAGGAACCGAGATATACGGGCTCAAAGTTAGCGGTGGCTCTCTATTACGGTATCTTGAAGAGAAAGAAGTTCCAGAAACTGCTGACAAAAATTATCTTCCAGATCAACATGGGTGTCCCCTTCTACGGAAGATTCTGGAAGAACGTCGGTGACGCTGTCGACTCTTCAGATGACATGTGGCGAATGGCAAGTGCCACGAATTCAGAAGGCACCAAGTTCGAGGGTGGAGACGTTCAATGGAGGGATCTCCATACGAAATTTGACACAGCCAAGACCAAATTCCATTCTGGAGCCAAGGCACCCTTCATCTGGATTCCAGAACAGAAGACGTTCATAGGATATGAGAATGCAGAGAGTTTGAAACACAAAATCGACTATATCGTTGAGAATAACATCGGAGGAGTTATGATTTGGGCTATCGACTTTGATGACGATCAAGGCACACTTTTGAATTCAGCGGCTTCTGATTCTCTATGTGTCACGTCATCGAAATCCTTCAGCTATAAGTGCTCACCAGTGGATGATAAGAGATGGTGGACCTATGATGATAAGAGGAGTTGGCAGGAATGTGTGGAAAGTCTGCTCCATTGATAGAAGGTTATTATCCAGTCTGTGATCCAGATGATCCAGGTCACGCGTGTTGTGGAAAGGTGAGACCTTTCCTTGAATCCATAAAAATTGAATCTTTCAGTATGGTTACTGTGGCTCCGGTGCCGAGTTCTGCTCGTGTCCCGAGTGCATCGACTACGGTACCGATCCGAATTTGATTCTGAAGGAACCAGTGAAGCCGTCGCAAAAAATCACCTGGTACACTTCAGACGCCGGCGAGGGAAAGCGAGGAAGATGTGGCCGAGATGTGCCACCGTTGGAAGGCGAAGCACCGACGTGTAATCCAGATGACTTGAATGCTCATTGTTGTAGTAACGGAGGTTACTGTGGAAATTCCAAGGAGCATTGTGAATGCGTCGGATGTATTGATTTTTCGAAGCAAAGAGACTTCAAGTACAAACCGTTGGAGTGGTGGACGTTCGGAGAGAATCCGGCCAACGTTGGTAGGTGTTAACGGCGATGAGAAGGCTCACAGAAAAAGAAAACATTAAAAATTAAAAATCAGATTTAAAAAAAAAATTCCAGGTCGCTGCGGCTACGACGCTCCCCGCCTTTCCACTGGAAAGATCCCCAAATGCGACCCGGATTCCGAATCCTTCTGCTGCAGTAACAGTGGATACTGCGGAAAGGGGGAGCAATATTGCTCATGCTTAGGATGTGTGGATTTCAAGGCAAATCCGGCGTATGAGTACTGAACAATAATGTATAAATTATTTGAACAATTCTGTGAATAAAAAATAAATTAATTCCTTTTTGAGACCACAGATTAGAAACGAAGAGAAAAATAGGGAGAAAAAAGGGGAAAGAAGACAAAAATGATAAAAATTAGATAATCTACAGGAGACCCTGTCTCTTGAGATCCTCGTACATCTTGCGAGTGACGACGTTTCCACTGGAGTCCTCGTACTCCTCATCGATGTCCGGATTCCATTTCGCCATTTCTTTTTCGGTCTTCAGCTTGTTCCACAAGTCCAGAGCGTCTTTGATTTTGGTGATGTTCGCGAAATGGGAGGTGTTTGGGATCCCGAGGCAGCGCATTCCGTGGGAGTGACGCCATTCCTGGAAAATAAACTAATGAGAAGTTGGATTTCGATATTCTGGAGAATTTCGAATCTCAGGAGCCTAGTTCTCCTTTTCTGGGTTTTCTGAAGTTTCTGATCTTACATTAAAATGCTTCTGGAAGGCCTTGGGTCCTTTATAGGTCTGATTTCCACAAATTTCACAAGAATACGACAAATTGAGTCCGTGAAGCTTATACAACCAGTACGGAATCGGCTTCCCATCCCAACCAAGTGGCAAGTTCTTCGGGTTGTATGGAGCGCTCTCGTCGACCTCTTCCTCTTCCTCGATCTGAAAATTATTCAAAATTTGCATTTTAATCCCTTCCACTTACGACCACTTCCTCCTCCTCTTCCTCCTCAACCTCTCCGGCACTTCTCGCTTGCTTTCTCTCGACATTCTCCCGTGTTCCAGTTCTTTCTTCAGCCAGAATCTCTGCCATCGCCATGATATGACCCTCTGTCTGCGCCAAAGCCAAGTTCTTCGCCTTCTGCTTGTCAACTTCTGAGTTATTCGAAGCCATGGCTGCCTTCTCCAGATCCGACAACTTGTGTCCTTTAGTGGCGAAAAGTCTTTCTGCTCTCTCTTTAAGCGTTCCACCGCATTTCAATCCAATAGCCATTAGTGCTCCTTTGAGTCTCTCCAGCCCCAGTCCTTCCAGCTCTTCGGCACTATTATATGGGGACAAATCAACGGCTGCGGCTTGCGATGGAGCAGTTTTGCTCTTGTCAGCCTCCCAACCAGGTAGATTTCCAGCTTCAAAAGCTCTCTGAATAGTTCCATCGACCTCAGCGAACATTGTCTCAAGGTCATGGAGTGGACGAGTCCGTTGTATGAATGACACCAAATAGTCTTTCAGTGAATTCACATACTCTTTATAGGCGCCAGTTTTCTTTGTAGTTTGCTTTGGAATATCTGTGAACTTCTCAAAGTTGAGCAAGTAGGTCATATAGTCCACTCGTTTGATATTTTTTAAATTGATGAACTTGTCGTATTGAGCATGCAGATCCAAGAAGCGACCGTAAGCTTCTTCGTCACTGAACTCAACCATGTCTGGTTCGGCGCGCTCTGGATTGATGATATCATCGTTGATCTTTTGAAATTCTACAGTTAGAGGCTCTGCGAGCTCATCTGGATTTCTTCTGTGAGCATCTTTGATAACTTTCAGTCTGGAATAGAACTCTGCGAATTCGTTTGGGCCAGAGACAGCATCCATTTCAATGCTTTTCGAGTTGTCCTCGTCCTTATAGAATTTAGCCAGCTCTGCCGACACATCATGGTACCTCTGAAGAAAAATGAAATTATTGATTTTCCGCTTTAATAGAAAGATTCTTACATCTACAAACTTCTTCACTCGAAGCTCACTGTTCACTTTTGCCTTGTGTGTCAACTTCTCTGCAATCTTCTCCTTCACGGTGGAATCGATTAGGCGTTCTCGTTCTTCGTGCAGATTTCGGATGGTTTCCAGACAGGAATCCATGTTTCTGTAAAATTATTTTTATCTATTTTTTGTTTATAATTTTTATACTGGAAAATCGAAGAAAAAGCGGTGGAAACAAGCTAGAATTCAAGAAAATTGCATGGAATCAAAAAATCCAATTGTTCGAATTTCTGCAACTCGCCGTGACGGTGTGTGCACCATTGTGCATTTTAAACGACGCGCAGTGCACCTCGAATTTTTCTAACCTTTTTCTAGATTTCTTTTCTCTCTTTTAAGAAAATTTTAGCTCATTATCTGTTACAAATATAATTTTCAGGTATGTTGGCTACCGGTGGAACCATCGCAAGACGGCTAATCCACTCGTCGTGCCGATTGGCGTGTGAAGGAAAAACGAAAGAAGTTCCGACTCCAGAAGAGGTAATTTATCTTGTTTGCAAGCTATTTTTTTAGTTTTTTAGGCTGGCTACGCTTTCAATCATGTCGAACGAAAAAAGGGAATGTACAAGCCACAACACAGTATCGCAGAACAAGTTTCCTACATGAAAAGTCGAGGTATAAACAGATTTCAATAAAAAAGGGCACTAAATTCGATTTTGCAGCATATGCCGAAGCTTACAAAGGACTTCCGATCTACAGATGGTATAAGAGAAATATCAAGGTTGGTTTTTCAAAAGGAAATTGAAGTGGAAATTCAAATTTCGGTTTTCAGGGCAATCAAAACTGCAACCACCGCCAAGACTCTTCTGCATTGATAAACACGGACGGTTCAATTTGAATCATGCGTGTCCAGTTTGCCGTGACGAGTACCTCTACTTTGACTACCGCAACCCATCGCTCATCGAACAATTCCTCGCAGACGGCACCGATCAGCCAATCGATATTCTGAAATCCGGATTGTGCCGCGAGCAGTACACCCTGCTCCGCGCACAACTTCTAAAGGCCAAGGAACACGGAACGATCCCTTTCGGAGTGGAATTCCGAAATTTCGACTATCGTCAATGGTACAAAAGTTGGACAGAGGAGCCGGGGAAGCCAGTGGAGAGAGCAGGTGTACGTCTTCAAGACATTCATCCGGATCCGTTGGTTCATTTCCCAACGTTCAAAAATGACAAGAATAATGACTGGGATCAGTGGTGGATTCGACATGACAAGTTTGCAAAGAAAGCTAAATAATTTTTATTCTATCTTTTGTAGTTTATAGTTTCTGTTGTTTTTGTTGATTTATTATCTTCCTTTGGAGTGAAAATATAGCTTTTTGGTTTTTTCAAGGTTCATGCCGCCCATGTAAAGGACGCGGCGGGTCTCGCCGCGAATTGTTGTTGAGGATGTCGGCGGACTACGGTACACCGTCTTTTCGGCGCCAAATCCGAATAAGTCTTTTATTGCAGGACTATTTATTTCCATACTTTATTCAAATTCAAAGAAGTAGTTAAAAAAAAGAAAGAAAACCCGTACATAAAAAATGCCTAGGACACGGCAAGACATGAGATTTGTGTCGAAGAGAAGAAAAAGGTCACACCAATAGACCTCCACTTGTCATCACTGGATACTTGGCTCCTTCTGCTGCCACCGATGGATCACTGGATAGCGGAATCTCGTTCGGAGCATGATAGTGGCTTATCACTCGAGCATTTTCAGTTTTCTGTACTCGGAATGCACTTTTATAAGGGGGAGCGTTCTTGGCGCCCAGCTGCTCGGAAAGCCGGATTCCAGGAGACAAAATGGGTGATGGAGCTGCTAGACTAATTCCAGCCTTCCCGAGAACGGGTGGTTTGACTACTGAGGACGCTCCAGATGACCTTGAAGACGTAGAGGATGGAGCTGGAGAGTCGAGCATTGGGGCGAACATGGAGGGGACGGAATCTTGGGAAGCGTTTCGGGATTTGTAGTCGGAGCTCAATGGGATGGTAGAGGCTGGGATCAGGTCGGATTGGTTGGAAGATCGGGAGCGAAGACGTTCGTACATTTCGTAGTCGGGAGTCTGAAAGCTCGAAAATAGATTTTTCTCACAAATTAAAAATTTCTCACATCTCTATCTGAAGGCTCCGCCTCCAGATGCTGTCGTATTCGAAGCAACGTGGCACTTTTGGGGTCGAAACTCACTAATGATGTGACATTAGCCGGAATTGAATTAGGGTCTTCTTCCAAGTCGGGTCTCTGGAAAAAAGAAAATTCTTCAATATTTTTTTTTGTTTTCAGATTTTAGAGCCAATTTTAGCTGAGTTTTATCGTTTCCTGTAAGAGCATGTCATGGGATCAAGGTGGGGCAAATACTCATTAGCTTGATGATCTTTTGCTAAACTCGCTCATTTGCTAAAATAGTCTCACTTGCTAAATTTCATTTGCTAAATGTTGATCATTTGCTAAATAGAGGATTTGTTCAAAGTGAAGGCTTAGGCTGAAACTTTTTCTTTTCTAGCTACACCGAGATAATTGAGCTCAAAGTGCATTTCTATAAGAGCACATACGGTAGTTGCCAGTTAACAGAAGGGGTCAATTTTTACAATAATTTTCAGTTTTTTTTGCTACTCTCAACTCACTCTCAACTGCAACGATTTCTTCTTGATCGGCTTCGTATACACATCTTCTGGATTATTTTCCTCTTCAGATGACCTATTCGACGAGCACGGAGCACAGTCGGGAGCCGGCATTGCTGGACGTGGCGTCTTCTTTTTCTTTTTCGAGTTTCTCTCAAATTGCCCCTTGACCTCTTTTTTCTCGACAGCAGGCTTTTGTGTCTCTCTAGATGATCCCAAATCGTCGTATTGAGAATTTAAGTATCCGCTACTTGAATTATTGGTTGTACTTGGAGCTTTTGCGACTTTAGATGCACAGATTTGAGCGTAGTGGTTGATAGATTGATTACAAGATCTGATTGGTTTCTTTCGGATTTCTATGAGAACTAGGATTGAGAAAATTGAAGTGATGATTGCCAGAATGATGTGAAGGATTGATTGAGAGGCTTCGATCGAGTAGAATGGGATGAGGCAGGATTTTTGAACCCATTTTTTTCTGGAAATTAGAACTTATAGGTAGAATCTAAGAATCCAAGAATCTCAGCATCTTAGAATTTGAAACTATAAATATCATCGGAATATCAAATTTAAACTTCAGCAAAATTTTGAAAATGTAAAAAACCTGATCATTAGAAATTATGGATTTGAATACCGTAAAATATGCAATAGAAGAACACATAACTTTTGAATTTGAGCCAATTTATCTCGGTTGTTTTCAAAGATATCAATAAATTGTCAACTGATAACATGTTCATCATAATATCACTAATATTTTATCAGTTAACATCATTTTGATATCTCTTATGGGAGCCGAGATAATTTCTACTTGACAGTGTGGAGGCCCTACTATTACAGGTTTTACGGTAATTCAAACTCAGAATTCCCAATTCAAACTTTTGAATTTTTGAATTTTCACTAACCTAATCACATCGAATTCCGCATCACATCCTGGCGTGAATCTCAAGAAAAACGACGAGGAGTACGGTAGACCAAACGACAGATACGGCCTAGAAATCTCTCCGAAAATTCCAATGTACCAAAGAAAAATGAGAACGTTGATAACGATCGAGAGAGCATTGGAAACGAGGAGAGTGTAGAGAAGTGGACGGCGTTTTTGAGTTGCACCGAAGAGGCCAGATATCAGGAACACTATCTGAAACATTGCAATTTTGTGTCATTTTTTCAGTTGTGGATGTTCCCAAGTTTTTCCCTTTGCAAACAAACCCCTCGACCTGTATAATTTCTCAACATTTCCATGTCCATAATTAGACAGATCCGAGGTCATTTCCGACAGACAATTATAGGGAGGAGTGTAAGCAAGCGTGTCTTTTTACATTATATATTTTCATGATGTCATTATTAATATTATTATTTTGTAACGGTTCAGATTGTATTTGATGACCGACCGGAAGTGATGGTAAGGGAGACGGAACAGAATCATGGCGCCAGAAAATCAAGGTTTTTGATATTAGAAAATTTTTATAAATTTATTAGGAATCTATTCCAAAAATAGAATTTATTTTAGAAAATTCCAGAACTTATTTTATAGCTAGAATTCCTCAAAATATCAAAACAAAAATTTCAATATTTCATTGTATTGGCTCTAACAGAATTCCACCCTATGCGTGCACTTTGAGCTCAATTATCTCGGCTCCTATGAGACATATCAAAAATGTGTCAACTAATAAAATTTTGGTGATATTATGATAAACAATTGATCAGTTGACAACTTTTTTATATCTTCAACAAAAGCCGAGATAAACTAGCTCAAAGTATACGTTCGGTTATATCGTATTTGCTTTAGTAGAAGCCAACCCTACACGTGCATTTGAGCTCAATTATCTCGGTTCCTGTAAGAGATGTCAAAAATTGGTCAACTGATAAAATTTTTATCATAACATAACCAAAATTTTACCTGTGAACAAAATTTTAATGTCTCTCATAGGGACCGAGATAATTGAGCTCAAAGTGAACTTTAGTGTGGGCTTCCATTGAAGCATTCACATGAAAAAACAAAAATTCTACGGTTTCACTTGGGTTCAAGCCAACGGGTAAAAAAACGCGCCCCAAATAACTTTTAGGCCAGAAGAAATTTAATTTGCGGAGTCCCGCAAGGTGCAGTTTTGTCCCCAGTTTTTTTGGGATCTGTGTTAATGAAATATCGTCTTTCCTCCCTCACGAAGTTCATTGTAAACAGTTTGCAGATGATATATGCCTCGGTTAACGAAAACTTAATACAAAATTGGTCTGAAAAGTCCAAACTCCCTCTTAACGCAAGTAAAACCGTTGCTCTTACAGTAGGTAAATGCAAGAAAACTATGAATTACTTTATTGAAGGTCAATTTATTAAAAAAGAGACAATAACTCGTGAGTTAGGATTTCTAGTATCTGAAAAACTGGATTTTTCTGAGCACTGGAGACAAGCAACTAACAAGGCTAAATTTATCCTGTCTCAAGTTTTCCAGCAATTTAATAATAAAAACACCCGATTAATGGTTCTTTTATACAAAGTTTTCATAAGGCCTGTGCTCGAATATGGTACGGTAATCAGTAGTCCCTTCAAATTATCAGATATTAAATTAATAGAATCAGTGCAAAACTCTTTCACAAGAAGACTGTATAGTCGTAAACTAGGAAGATATGTTAACCCAAACGATAAGAAATATAAATCTGCGAGCGAGCGCAACCTACTCTTTGGTCTTAATTCACTACACTCTAGACGCTTAGCAATAGACAGGAAAATGGTATCAAAAATGATATCGGAAAAAATAGGTCTGACCATAACTGAATTTTTCGCGTCAGCTGAAACACGTACTAGAAGAAAGACACGATTTCTCTGGCCCATTCCTAAATCTAAACTAAGGCGAAACTTCTTTGTCAACCGTACTCTGAGTCTAATTGAGAACCCAAGGCCCCCTCTCTCTAAGTTGTAAAATAATTTATTATTTCTGTTAATCATTATTGCAGGTATAATTTTTATTCTGTATGCGTGTATGTGTTGATGGTTATGTGCTATTATTTGGAAATAGTGTTACTATTCGGTTCCCCACTTTAATTGAATGTGTTGTCTAATTATTCGTGTATCTGTGTTTTGTGTGATTGTATTGTATTCCTTTTCTCTTTTTCCACGACGGAAGGTCGTAATCAATAAATAAATAAATAAATAATTTCCAAGTTGACGTGGATTTGACCTAATTAGTTTTAATCAACGAGTTGCAACGCGTGATTTTTTCGCGCAACGTTTAAAAGTTTGATCCTCAGCCACATAATTCAGCAGCGAATTTTTTCTAAAATCTCACGTTTACTGGGGCGCGATTTCTGACCCATTGGCTTGAACCCAAGTGCGGTTTCGAATTTCACCATCAGATTTTTCTCAGAAATTTGATAATAGCTAATTTTTTGTAAAATAAGAGAAAATTCTAATTCTAACCGTATTCGAAACTTAGAATCCTATTATTTTCAGATTTAGAAGCCAAAACCCCAATATTTTTAAAATTTAGCCCTTTTTTTTTCAAATTTGGGAGTTCCAGATTGTAGAATTCCAGATTTTAGAATTCCAAAGTTTAAAACCAAAAACTTAATTTTCCCTGAAATTACTTTTGAATCGAATTCCCGATCCTCCTGGTTCAATCCCTGACAATCCTCTTCAGAACGTCGATTTTCCCAAACTTTGCAACATTCAGATTTTTCAAAACAGTTTCAAAAGACACCACCAATCAAGTGGGAATTACCATTTTTCTTCTTTTTCCCTCACGAAAATAAAACACAGCAGGTGAGGAGCTAATCCCCCTCTCTGAGAAACTTTTCAGGGTCATCTCTTCCCCGTCTAATCCTCTTTTTCTTCTTCTTCCAATCTCAAGATTCTCGAAAAGTACCGAATAAGAATGATTTGATATATATATATATAAAATGCCCATTTCACCATTCGAATAGGCGTTGAATTGTATAGTAAAAGAAGAAAAAGAAGAAGAGATTTGGGGTTATCGGGAGAGACACCTCCTCGAGATAACCGAATGAACGGTTTAGTGAGAAAAAGGAGATTTATGCGCCGCCGCCCGAGGCGAATATGCCGAAATGCTTGAAAATAGTGGAAAATAATCCGATAATTTTTGAGAAGGATGAGAGAGAAACCGGTGGATTGAAATTGAGAGAATTGTTGGGAGAGTTGACGTTTTGGGATTCTGAATTCTGAGATTCTGAAGTAGGTAATACAGATGGAGAGCGGTTATAAAGGATTGAGGTTTTCAAAATGATGGATTTTGAAAGTTTTTGTCTGCAATATGATTTGAGCCTTTATCTCAGAAAATACTGTTGATTACTGTACCAACTACCGTAAATTCAATTTGAGCCCTATGATCTCAGTTCTTTTGAAAAATATCAAAAATATGTCAACTGACAAAATATTTATCACAATATAACCTATATTTTATCAGTTGACCACTTTCTGATATCTTTTGAAGAAACCGAGATACTTTAGCTCAAAGTGCACATAGATGATGGACTTCTATTAGAGCATTTATATGAAAATTCTTGTATTTTACAATTAGATTTTTTTACAGAAAATTGTGAGAACTTGAATTCTGAATGAAGTCTGGAATCCTATTATTTTTAGATTTTGACCCCCAAAACCCCAATATTCAAAAGTGTAGAACTTTCCAAATTTTGGTTCCTTGAATCGTGGGATTTGAGGATCTCAAAAATTAAAAAAAAATGCTTCTAAGGAATCGAAAATCTCAAAATTCTCTATTCCTGGAAACTTCGGAAATTTCCTTAAACTTTTTATGAGTTCCCGCCAAAACCGAAAGTGCTCTGTTTTCCTTTTTTTTCTAAACATGTCCTTGAATTTCTAGTTTTAAGATGTTTCCAAAATTGAACTACTTTTGAGATCTTCTCACCTTTTGGAGCAATTTGTCAACATTTTCTTGATAATCTACACATTCTCCTGCATAAAAATTTCATGGTCTCTGTCCCCTTTTAAGTTTAAACATCTAGAAATTCCCGGAAATCTCAGATTCTCTCTCAATTCTCTCATTCCCAAAACATATGACATCGAACAAATCGAAAAATGTTGTTCTACACACACTCATTTTCCCCCTCTCCTCATTTTTTGTTTCCGTTTTATCCGCGCCAATCAAGTTGCTGCTAGCGGAAAGCCCCTGTATATCCTATCCGCCTGTCCGGCGGCGCATTTTTTCCGAAACGTTCTCATTTTTTATGTGGACAACACTTGAAACAAAAGACCGATTCTCCTCGATTCATATTTTTTTGTTGTGTTCCGCCCGTTTTTATCAGAAAAATGGGGGAATATCTGAGCATTTTCTTCTTTGAGCCATCTCGCTCTACGGACTATTTGCTCTCACATTTCTGAAGCAAACAAGGGATGGGATGGGATGTTGTTTATTCGTAGATCCAAAATGAGCATATCGAGGGAGGAACAAACAGGTTGAGAGAAAGAGAAAAAGGACACATAGGTAATGCTGCTATTGCCATTCGGAATGTTTCGGTCAGTTGAGATGAGCAATATGTGTGTATGTGTGATGACTGGATTAACCGGTAGGGCCGAAAAACTATTGAATGGAAAAGAAAAAACTATAGGAAAGAGAGGGAAATATGACACCGAATTGTGACCAGTTGGATGGGAAGAGAATTGAGAAATCTAGAATTCGGGAACCTCAGAAATCAAATCCAAAATTCCAATTTTTCGAAGCTTAATATCAGGTTAGATTCCCAAAAATCTAGAGGGTGCACAAATTTCAGAATCCAAATTTCTCAAAAATTAAGAATTTCAACTTAAATCGAGGTTCAGAAAACCCGGGCTAAAAATCCAAAAAGTTTCGAACTCAAATATCTCAAAATCAAAAAAAAGGAATTTCGGTTTTTCGGAATCTCGAAGTTTTGAAATATGGAAATCTGGAATTTAAGAATTTTAACTTCTAAATGAAGGGAAATTATTAAATTTGGGTTTTGGAACTTTCAAAATTTTAGATTTTAAAGATCAAGTATTTTGTTAGCCCAAACTACTGTGTTTCCTATAAATTAAGCATTCCCAAACCGTCAACTTTGAACTCAATTATCTCGATTTCTGTGACAGATATCAGAAATTGGTCAACTGATAAATTATTGATCATAATATCACCAATATTTTATCAGTTGACTAATTTTTGATATCTTGCACAGGAATAGAGATAATTGAGCTCAAACTTGACGGTTTCAATGAGCTCCCATTATAGGAACCACGGTATTACCAAAAATATTTTTTAATTTTTTCAAATTTTCATATCCCAAATTTTTTTCTTTCTGTCAATCTATCCAGATGTGTCTAGTCTCCAATCATTGACACGTTATTCCGGTTCTAGTCAACCCCGATGGCTCAACTTGATCACCCCCACTTGATCACCGAAGATAAACTTTTGGAAAAAAAAGAAAAAAATCAAACCTGCACAAAATCAAAAACCACAACGACCCAGAGATTTCCGATCAAATCGAACACTGATCGAGCTATCGAAAGAATCGTCCACGTGGCAAGTAGAAGGGATAACAACCAGCGGACAGACATCGGATCATTCCTTCATTCGAGCTACCTTTCTTTCGGGATTTTTCGGGATTGGAAGTTTCTGGAAACAATCGAAATTTGTGATTCGAAGATCATCGTTTTGAAGAATCATTTTAAAAGAAAAAAAGGAAAATTTTCTAATGGTGACCTAGAAATTTCTAATAAAACCTGAGGAGAAATGATATAAAAAATGAAAAAATGTCCTAGAAGATTTTATTTTCCTAGAAACTTTCATATTCTAGAAAAAAATGATTAAGAAAAATTCTAGAAAATTGCAGAAATAAAGTCATTTGGAAACTTTGAAATTATGTACTTTATCAAATCAAAAAATATTTTAATAGGATGACAGACGACTGTGGGTTTGTTTATTTTTGTTATCAGTATTTGAGGAACAGACATTAAATTTTTGTTTGGAAAAAAAAAAGAAAGCAGTAGTAGTATTTTTTTTTTCTGTTTGGGAATGGCTGGAGAGGAAAAAATGAATGGAAGAAAAAGATTTATTAACAAATAAACAAATTGCTTGAAAAAAACGAGGAGAAGTGGAGTTTATACGATTTTTGGGGGTGGCAGAGTACTGGAATTTTAGAATATGAGAAATTCAGAAATTCAGAAACACTGAAATTCAGAAATTCAGAAATTCAGAAATTCAGAAACACTGAAATTCAGAAATTCAGAAATTCAGAAATTCAGAAATTCAGAAATTCAGAAATTCAGAAATTCAGAAATTCAGAAATTCAGAAATTCAGAAATTCAGAAATTCAGGAAATTCAAGAAATTCAGAAATTCAGAAATTCAGAAATGCACCAATCCAGAAATTCAGAAATTCAGAACTTCGAATTGTTGAAATATCGGAATCTCGTTAAGCAAAAAAGGCTAATTTTTCAAAATTTCAAAAAAAGCTAATTTTTGAAAAATATTTTTTCCAAAAACTCAAAAATCGGTTTAATCGGAAAAAAATGTGAAAACTGTCTAGAAAAAATCCTCAAAAATTCGAAAATTGAAAAACTAAATTTTGGACATCTGGCATTTTAATTTTGCATTATCAGTAAATAAAAATGTACAAAAAGAGCAAGAAATTGAAAAATTGAAATTTCCAAAGTTTTCTAGTCTGCTCTAATTCTCTCACTCTATCCCTCTCTAGCTAATAAAATGCACACATTGAAAGAGAGGGAAAACATACACATAGAGAGACATACAAATACCCCTCCGATCTTTCTTTCCGAATGGACCACCTCCTCCGAATGAATGAGAGAATGGAACTGTTTGAAGAGACAACAGACAGTTAGAGAAGAAGGTAACTGACACGCCCACTTTTCGAATGAAAGGGGTATTAGGTTGACTTGTTGAAGAAGAAGAAGAGAGGGTCAAAGAGAAACGAATTGTAGTTGGGATGGGGGAGGAGGAAGAGGGAGTTTTCACCGCCGCGCGGAACCGAAAACCAAAGAGAGAGAGAGAGTGAAAACGATCCGCTCATTCGACGCTTCGTCTCTATACGCGTGCTTTTCGGATTTCGACATGAAGGAATGAGAGAAGAGAACGGTAGAAACAAAAACCTACATGACTTCTTTTTTCTGAACTGGGAATTCTGAGATTTTAAGATTCTAAGAATCCAGAATTTTAAGGGTATGAGATTCTAAGATTCTGAGAATCCAGGATCTTAAGGATCTGAGATTCTAAAAATCCAAGATTCTGAGGATCTAAGATTCTAAGATTCTAAGATTCTAAGATTCTAAGATTCTAAGAATCCAAGATTCTGAGGATCTAAGATTCTAAGATTCTAAGATTCTAAGATTCTAAGATTCTAAGAATCCAAGATTCTGAGGATCTAAGATTCTAAGATTCTAAGATTCTAAGAATCCAAGATTCTGAGGATCTAAGATTCTAAGATTCTAAGATTCTAAGAATCCAAGATTCTGAGGATCTAAGATTCTAAGATTCTAAGATTCTAAGAATCCAAGATTCTGAGGATCTAAGATTCTAAGATTCTAAGATTCTAAGATTCTAAGATTCTAAGATTCTAAGATTCTAAGATTCTAAGATTCTAAGATTCTAAGATTCTAAGATTCTAAGATTCTAAGATTCTAAGATTCTAAGATTCTAAGATTCTAAGATTCTAAGATTCTAAGATTCTAAGATTCTAAGATTCTAAGATTCTAAGATTCTAAGATTCTAAGATTCTAAGATTCTAAGATTCTAAGATTCTAAGATTCTAAGATTCTAAGATTCTAAGATTCTAAGATTCTAAGATTCTAAGATTCTAAGATTCTAAGATTCTAAGATTCTAAGATTCTAAGATTCTAAGATTCTAAGATTCTAAGATTCTAAGATTCTAAGATTCTAAGATTCTAAGATTCTAAGATTCTAAGATTCTAAGATTCTAAGATTCTAAGATTCTAAGATTCTAAGATTCTAAGATTCTAAGAATCCAAGATTCTAAGATTCTAAGATTCTAAGATTCTAAGATTCTAAGATTCTAAGATTCTAAGATTCTAAGATTCTAAGATTCTAAGATTCTAAGATTCTAAGATTCTAAGATTCTAAGATTCTAAGATTCTAAGATTCTAAGATTCTAAGATTCTAAGATTCTAAGATTCTAAGAATCCAAGATTCTAAGATTCTAAGATTCTAAGATTCTAAGATTCTAAGAATCCAAGATTCTAAGATTCTAAGATTCTAAGATTCTAAGATTCTAAGAATCCAAGATTCTAAGATTCTAAGATTCTAAGATTCTAAGATTCTAAGATTCTAAGATTCTAAGATTCTAAGATTCTAAGATTCTAAGATTCTAAGATTCTAAGATTCTAAGATTCTAAGATTCTAAGATTCTAAGATTCTAAGATTCTAAGATTCTAAGATTCTAAGATTCTAAGATTCTAAGATTCTAAGATTCTAAGATTCTAAGATTCTAAGATTCTAAGATTCTAAGATTCTAAGATTCTAAGATTCTAAGATTCTAAGATTCTAAGCTTTTAAGATTCGGAGTATTTGAGATTTTGGTAGTCTGAGATTTCGAGATTTTGTATTTCCGAAAACTTGAAAATGTAAGAATCTGAAATGAAAAATTGGTTTCAATCCAGAATTAAGAACCTTTCTGAGTCAAAAATTTGGGAGCTGTAAAACTATAAAATTGGAGGAAAACTCGAAATCGAGCTACAAAAAAATATTCCAAATGAGAACGAAAAGCTAAAATAAAAAAGCTAAAAAGCTAAAAAATTGCGAGAAAAATCAAACTTCTGAAACCTAGCATTGAATGTAGAATGTTCAAAAAATGATTAGCTTAACATTTTTTGAATTTCTAGAGCTTCATGAAAACTATAGAAGCCAACTCTATACGTTCACTTTGAGCTCAATTATCTCGATTGATATAAAAGATATCAAAAAGTATGCATTTAGTGAAATTTAGGTGATATTTAGATTAACATCTTATCAGTTGATCACTTTTTTAAATCTCTCATACAAACGAGATAATTGAGCTCAAAGTTACCGTAAATGCTCCAATAGAAGCCTTTACTATCATTAAACTTTGAGCTCAATTATCTTGGCTCCTATTTGAGATATAAAAATTTTGTCAACTGATAAAATGTTGGTGATATATTGGTAAACATTTTATCAGTTGACAGATTTTGAATATCTTTTAAAAGAACAGAGATAATTGAGCTCAAAGTGCTCGCATAGAGTAGCTTACGGTATCAAATAAAAGGCAATTCCTGAATCTCAACTTTGGAGACTTCAAAAGAAACAAAATCATATATGTATGACAAGAAAAAAAGAACATTCAATAAAAAGTTTAATAAAAATTCCATCGAAGGAGAAAGAAAAAGGCGTTAGCGCCAGAAGTGAGAACTTATCTCATCTCCATATTCTTGTTTTTTATTCTCTTTTATTCACTTTTTTCTCTCCGAATTCTTCTTCTTTTCAGAATTCCGATAAACAGAGAAACTAGCTAACTAAAAACAAGAACTCAATTCATTAAAAGAGAAGCCCTCTTTATCTAAACAAGGACTCTTCACTTTGCTCCTTTTGGAACGGGCGGTCCATTCCCCGTAAAAACAAATAAATATATGACTGGTAACTGGAGATTCTTCTTCTTTTCTCAATGCGGGAGAACCTGGGTGAGGGACCAGTTTCCTGTGTTTCCTGTCCAGTTGATGTTCAAATAAGAGTAATCTGTTTGTACAATGTCTGATGCACTCGAGGATTAGAGAACACATGCATTTTTTATGATTACTATAATAGCTGTAAACAAGTGTTCTTTGATATAATTGGATTAGGATCAAGATAAAATGTGCAAATAAGAGAAACGGTAATATTCTGGTACAAAAATTCGGAGCTGTGGAAGAGAGAAGATTGTGGATGTGGATGAAGGTCCCTCAACGACAACTGCCGTAATCTGAAATTTTTGATATATTTTTCTCGGTTTCTATTGTTCGCCGATGAACCTTGTGGCCGATTTTATGTTTAAAGGAGCACATCTGGTCCTGAAGCGGGACAGCTACGGATTTTACAAACTAATTCGCTCGCCTTTAATACTATTTCGCTCAGATTTTTCGCTTGTTTTCGTTTGAATTCTTCAGATGCTCATGAATAATCAGCTGAATTTCCTTATAAACTAGAAAAACAGCCTAAAATGGGTCAAAATGAAATAATTGCAAATTACTGTATTGAAGGCGCATGAATTTGTTGAAAAAAGGCTCCCTCTTTAGGACCAGCTATTGACGGAACAAAAACTATTATTCTTGTCTCGTTGAATAGTTGTTAAAGCCGCAAGAGCGAATACTACCGTACTTTGAACCTATTTTAAACATTATACTCATATTTTCTCAGTTTCTCTACGATTTTCATCGTTTTATCGATGTAAATCAGGAAAAAAAGATTTAAGACGCTGAAAATTATCGAAAAACGGTGAAAATTGTCGAAAAAATGGAGAAAATAGGAAAATACCGTATTTCCTCTAATTGAAGCCCATGAAACCGAAATTCTCCGAAATTTAAAAAAATGAAAGA